ATACCTTAAAACCCTGAAAGAGCAAAACTCTTGTTAATGAACATATTAAGTAGAAATCAAAATCTGACATATTCAATTATGAAGAGTTGTTTACTTGTTTGCCATGTTTTGTCCAACATTTCTCAATTCTGTAAACTCCATCGTATCGTAGCCCTGCTGGCGGGGCATAAGAGGAGCGTTTCTCCTTCTTGGATCTGCCCAAAAGAATAGTTAGTGTTGGCTAAAACACATAAGATTCAACCTAAACGATAAAGAAAACAAAAATTTGTTCTCGCATCAGATATTTTCTATATGATAAAGACACAAAACTCACCTGACAACTCGAACAGGGTAACCCTGTAGGCAACTTACTCTTAGTGCCTGATTCCTCAGTTCAAACTTCTGATCAAAAGTGTGAGCCTTATTTGTACGCTTATTGCCACTAAGGTCCCTTCCACCACTGTACAGTTCAGCACAAAACCAAAGATTAATTAAGACAAAACAGGTTAATTAAAACATCATTATTAATTAATTAATTCTAATTATTCTAATAATTATATATAATTACCTCCCTGTGTAAAGAAACCACTCGCCATGGTCCTCATCATCTTCATAGCCACCAGAGAGAATAACCGACTGGGCCCCATGTTTGGACTGCCCGGCAATCCCAGAAATCATCGGAAAATGAACCCCCCATTGCCTACATTCTATCCTGCCGTCATAAGTCTCCCCAACCAACACCCCCGTCTTCTTCTCAGGGTTGTTTTCGGCCGGAATGGGTCCAAAATGGTCAGGCGGGATGGTCACGAAGATTCTGCCGCTCGCGGCGTTGGCCTTGCCGGCCTTCTTGGCTCGCTCTGTGGTGAACGCCTTGTCAGGCCGGTTCTGGTTTTGGATTTGGACATATTGAACCACCTTAGCTCGTTGTTCCTCTCCGATGAAGCCGTTTGACTGCTTCGCTATGCGGATGGCCTCCACAAGCACAGAGTTGATGCGAGGGTTGCTCGCCATCTTCGGCGGGACTGCGCGGCGGCAATTCGCGCAGCTTCGCTTTCCCTGCTTCACCCATTTCTGGAAGCACTTGAGGCAGAAGTTGTGACCACAAGGTGTCTGAAACAATTAAACACAGAAGCAGATAAAATTCATTAACGCAATTCTTTTCTTTTCTTTTTAATACAAGCGATACTCTTAAACAATTTAAATTAATCTAATCTCTTAAGAGAATTTTAAATTAATCTAATCCCCTGACAGAACGGCTCACTTCAGGACGAAGTGAGATAAAATCAATTAACACAATTCCGTAATGATAGTCTAAATTACTTTAAATTAATCTAATCTCTTAATCGGGCTCAGTTTCCGATCAAGTGAGACTTTAATTCTCCATTTTCTAAGTTAAATAATATATGGATAATAAATGGGCAGTTGAGAAGAAGAAAAATGTTTTGAAACGGAAATTCAGAGCACGACAGTTGGTGTCAGTTTGGATGACGAACCGTAACCGGTCTTTCCGGAAGCTGCATGCAAATCGAGCACTTGATATCGACCTCGAGATTATCGAGGCCATCGTTTTCACCGACGGTTTTGTCGTCCTTCTCTGGATTCGTGCCGACGCCGTCGGACTGTGGTCGCGCGCCTCCAGACATCAGCTCCTGCCGCCTCTTTGCCTTCTCCCGCTCGGTCAGAGACTTGTCCGACTCGATGGCTCTGATCGCCGCGATCAGCTCGCCGGAGCTTCCGGCATCTCCTCCGTCGGCTACCGTATTACCGGCGATCTGTCCGTCGTCAGACGGCGGAGCACAGTCGGGACAGTCCCACATGAGAGTCTCGGCAAGGGTTTCGGGGGGGACGGCGAGGCAAGCCACATGCCAGGGGGTGTAGCAGGTTTTGCACGTGAGCGTCTCCTCGGCTGACGGCTTCGTTTTGCAGGCCATGCAAAAGCCGTCGCCGTCGCAGGGGAGCACTCTAACGCTGACGTTGGCCATCGTGATGGAAAAAGAGTGGCGAGTGTTTGACTTGTAAAGGTCAAAATACTGAACCTGAAAACTATACTCTCTCTCTCTCTTCTTCCTGACAGTGACAGTGCTGACTGGTGAGGAAGTAAGGAATTTAGAATGGGTATTTATAGGACAGCCGGAGGGGTCGATATAGAATGTATTTGGTACGATTTTTTTGAATTCTTCGATTTTCCCTCTTGTTCATTGTGTGTTCTATACATGGGAAGCTTTCCGGCACACATTGAAGTGTCACGCTCCAAAACGTTATTTCACCACCCAAAAATGATAGGAGAGGGGAGGGATATTTACCAAATTAAGGAGGAGAGAAAAAGATAAGGAAGAAATTCCAACTAATTTTCTTTATTTATTGTTTGGCTACAAGGATAAAAACCAGAAATGATGCTAAATATCGATATTTTCACCGATATTTGTATGTTAGGCCTGTTGAAGGCCTGTAAATGTAACCTAATTTGTTTTAACAAAGTTCGAGATCTTTTTTAAACTAAAAAGTTTTGGGTAGAGTAACGATACATGTAGAAAGCTATGTGCTGAAACGAGATGAGTGAAGAAGCAGCTTTGTGAACCATTCACCGGACATGATATGCGGTGAGATATCATATCCTTTTGAAATTGTACATGGCACTTTCGCACCACAAGGCTCCATCTATTCACTTTCGGAAAAAATTATTCATGTTGGTTAACGACCCAACTACCCTGACATATTACCTTAAAAAAGTATGATTGGAATTGTAAGTGCGTGTGTGCAGTTAGATGCGATATAACGGCTAATTTTATTTTAACTACCGTTTGAGTTAAACTGCTGACTGATATCACATTAAAGTCATAAAAAACGATGAATTACTAACTTGTCAAGTTTCCATAATTCAAAAGTAATGAAAAATATTTTATTAATCAATCATGACAATCGAAGCATTCGTTGTTGATGTAATATCTAAAAGTAGTCGGAGCATTGATTATCTATGTAACGCGAACATTGTTAACAATAACTTGGCGAAAAATTATTCAACGTGCCACTATTTCATAGGAATCAAAGGTGATGTTGATTCAATTTTCCATAAGCGTTTGTTCAAAGTTACATTAACATTTAGTATCTGCCAACGAGTCTTATGACATGTTTATTTATTCATAATCATAATCACAATAAGGAGTTTAATTGCTATTACGAATTATGCAAATTATTTATTAATCATGTGAAAATGAAAGCATAAATGATGCCCACCCAATATCATAAGATTGAACTATTGATTTTGGAGGAATTGCACTCTTGATAGTGAAGTGGTTCATGAAGAAACAATCCATTCAAGAGTGCTTTTTTAAAATATATAATATAAAAATTCATTATACCATTCACACAATTTCTAAAATTTCAAGTTCTCCCATTCACTTTAATTCACCAAGTAAAATAGTATATTTATAAATATAAAATTTATCTAGCTTATTTATATTACCCTTAGTTTGGACGGAGGAAAATAACTCGGAATTTAGCTAAAATTCGGGAATTGAAGAGGAGAAATTGATATTTCAATTGTTTGACCACTTAAGCATGGAACTTATTAAATGACGCGCATAAAAAATTGTGGAAATTTGGGATTGAGATTCTAGAGTTTAATTTCAGCCAAAAGATGCATCATTTCACAATTTGTATTGAGTAGGAATTCGTTTTTTACTATAAATTCTATCATTTAAAAAATTTGACATACATAAATCCAAACACTGAAATTATTATTTTCCAAAAATTTAAACGATGGAGATCCAAATTCAATCATTTAAGAATTCTATACAATTTTCAATTTCTTCATCTAAACAGAGGATTAATGAACATCTTATATTGAATTTGTGTCAACCACTCTCCCTCAAATTTCATATAGTTTAGCAAGTAGCTTCATTGGGATTACGAATTCTAACTCCAACTCACTCAATTACAACTTAATAGACAAGCCATAGCTTAACTTGCATGAGTGGAATGAGAGTGATGAAGTGGAGCACAAGTTATATTCCCCTTATAATGCAAAAGATTATTAATATTTGGTTTACAATGTAACAAATTTGCATTATTTGATTTATTATTTTTAGTGTTTTGATGTTCATAATGAATTGATTGGAAAAGTAAAAATAAAATGCAGAGTTTTTAGGAAAAAATAATCTCATAAATGATAGTTGTTGAATAATAATGATAAAAAAGAAGAAAATAATTGCTGAATACTAAATAAGTAAAAACGTGACCGGCGTGACAGTACACTTGTGAATACATGGAAAGTAGCTTACACGTCATGGATGGAAAGTATATTGACAAAATAAATAAAGAAAAGGAAAGCAATTTACTAATTTCTCTTGAAAAGGAAAAATATCCACCCAGAAAATGTAAGATTCAGCCCCCATTTTCAGCACATTTAAAGCTAACCCACCTAATTTTAAATTGTAGTTACGCCAGCATGGCTTCGTGTCAAAATGTATTAAAGACGGGGGGACTCTATTAGGATCTACATTCCCCTCTTGGTTTTCCCTTGCAAAATTCAAATTCCACTTTTACCCTTTAAAATCGCATTAGAATAATTCCCAAATATTTGGCGATTAAGATTGAATTGGAATTTAGCACTAGCGGTCATGTCAATCGGATTGGAATTTAGCACTAGCGGTCATGTCCCGGCTCTTGGGTTTTAAATACGTGGTTAAAGAGTTAGAGTAGTGGAATTATGTATCCCATCTATTTTATGAGATAAATTATTATACGAAATGCACATGACTGGATTATCACGAGATTATCTTTTATATTATCTACATGCATTTTTGAGCACCAAACATGACATTGGTTAAGCAATCCTACTACGTACCCGACAAACGAGGCCAAAAATTCAGCCCAATATACGTCACCATGGGCCGCTAGCCTGTGACAAAATCTCGACATAACTTTGTGGGGCCAAGTGTTTTTAGGGGTCCAGAAACAACACATCAGGATATTCAAGAAGAACGACACCGTTTAGCAAACTTTCCATTTGTTGTTTTGATTTGACTTTGCCTTTTCTAAAACCCTAAACAGAACGAGTGGTTTAGTTACTCACCACCAAAAGTGGACAAATTCGCATGCGTACACTCTCCGCCTTCATTTCCTCATCGACTTCTTTTGGCCCCTGTTTTTTCCATCGGCTCACTCTGCGCCACTCACACAAAACCCTAACATCATCTCTAGCTCCCTGCTTCAGGCGCCAATTCACACCAACAATGGCTGCTCCAGAGGACTCGCTCCGCAAAGCCCTTGCCGATAAGCAATCGGAGGTCGAGAACCAAGGCAACCAGGTCCGATCTCTCAAAGCTGGCAAGGCGGCCAAGTCGGAGATTGATGCCGCCATTGAAGCCTTGAACGCGTTGAAGCTCCAGAAGGCTTCGATCGAAAAAGACCTTCAAGCCACATTGAGCAGCGCCGATGGCTCGGTCAACAGGGAGGCGTTCCGCCAAGCGGTATCTAATACGCTGGAACGGCGTCTGTTTTACATAAAATCTTTCAACATCTATGGTGGCGTTGCGGGACTCTATGACTATGGTCCGCCCGGTTGCGCCGTCAAGTCCAACGTCCTCGCATTTTGGCGTCAGGTTCGTTTGATTTAATTTGTCTACTTTTTTATTGTTTCGATTGGATGAAAACTCTAGACTAGTTCGTGTTTAAGTTGTTAATTCAATAATCTGCTTATGGGAGTCTGCATGGGAATTTTTTTTTTACCAACTGGAAGGGATTTAAATTTATGTGTAATTTATTTTCACAATTTACTTATAAGGAATTGGTAACAAGCTTTTGAAATTCAAGAATGGTTGTAAGTAAAAAAAGAAGAAGAAGAAATGAGTGCATGGGTGGAGGTATGTGTGAAGAACATTACAGCTTAGGGAAAGGAATGCATAATCAATGATTTGAGCCTTTTTCTATCGTCTTGCAGCATTTTGTGCTTGAGGAGAACATGCTGGAAGTTGACTGTCCTTGTGTGACACCTGAGGTGGTTCTGAAGGCATCAGGACATGTCGAGAAATTCACTGATCTTATGGTTAAGGACGAGGAAACTGGGACTTGCTACCGGGCCGATCACTTGCTCAAGGATTTTTGTAATGATAAGCTCCAGAAGGACCTCAACATTGCTGCAGAGAAGGCCAAAGAGCTTAAACATGTACTTGCAATGTTAGACGACTTCTCAGCTGAAGAACTAGGTGCAAAGATAAAGGAGTATGGGATTGTATCCCCTGACACAAAGAATCCTTTATCCGATCCTTATCCATTCAACTTAATGTTTCAAACTTCAATTGGTCCATCTGGCTTGATCCCTGGGTGAGCATTTCAGACACATAAACATATTATCAAAACTTTTTCTGTAATGTTAGTATCAATATCCATGGAATTTTGCCTTGCTCATTCTTATTTTATGTGTTACCTCATTTTCTGCAGGTACTTGCGTCCAGAAACTGCACAAGGCATCTTTGTGAATTTTAAAGACCTGTATTATTACAATGGCAACAAGCTACCATTTGCTGCAGCTCAGATTGGGCAGGCTTTTAGGAACGAGGTTATAAATCCTTCCCTGTGATTCCGAAATAAGATCATGCTTGATTTTTTCAGGGCATTCACAGACATGGTCTTTCACTATTTATTCTTCTTACCAATATAGTCTTTCACTCTTTATTGGGACTGAAAGGCACGAAAATTGCGTGTGGTTTATCAGCTTTATCATTAAACAATAATACTACATCTATACCTACAAAATAATATATATATTTATATATAAAATTGTCATGTAACTTGTATCATGCTCTGTTATTGCCCAGTGGTTTTTGTCCCCAGTCTTCTTCTAGTTTCCCGTTGAAGTTAAGCCATCATGGAATTTCCAGCTTGTGTAATCCATAATCAATTCCTAACTTGTTATTATAATGTGCAGATATCTCCTCGCCAAGGCCTTTTGAGAGTTCGGGAATTCACACTTGCAGAGATTGAGCACTTTGTGGATCCTGAAGATAAATCTCACCCAAAGTTTTCAGAAGTTGCAGAGTTGGAGTTTTTGATGTTCCCAAGGGAATTACAAACGTCGGGCAAATCTGCAAAGGCAATTCGATTGGATGAAGCAGTAGCTAAGGTTGGGTTCCGCCAACTTTTATCTGACCTTGTTTTATGTTTATATATGTTTTCTATATCTTAGTTTGATGGTGCAATTTCACATTATTTAGGGAATAGTCAACAATCAAACTTTGGGCTACTTCATTGGCAGAGTGTATCTTTTCCTCACTCGTTTAGGTATAGACAAGAAACGATTGAGGTTTCGCCAGCATCTTGCAAATGAAATGGCTCACTATGCCGCTGATTGTTGGGATGCTGAGATTGAGAGTTCCTATGGCTGGATTGAGTGTGTTGGTATAGCTGATAGATCAGCATATGACTTGCGTGCTCATTCGGTAAGGACTTGTCAGATATTTTTAATTTAAAAAGCTTAACTGTAGACTGCTTTTTCATTGATCATTATGCTGATATGGTAGCATTTTAAATGTATATTGATTGATTTTTGGTTTCATTTGGTAGTGTTTTGGTCCAGTAGTATTTTATTTGCCAATTTCAGAACTTCATTTTTAAGAATGAAACAGTTCTACCATCACGAGAGAAGACTTACAACATAAAGTGATGCTGAGTGTATATTCTGCTTTGGTGTAGAAAACTATATTTTAAAAAGTGTTGTTTCTTGTTTTATGACAGGAGAAAAGTGGCGAAGCACTTGTGGCTCATGAAAAATTTCCAGAACCTAGAGAAGTAGAGGTAAAGTTTCATGCAGATCATGTACATCGTTGATGTTATCTGTCAGTAAACACGATTTCCTGACTTCGTCTGTAAGAAGAGTCTATCATTTTTGACTTGTTATATAATTTCAGGTATTGGTTATATCTCCAGTAAAGAAAGAGATCGGCCTTGCTTTCAAAGGGAGCCAAAAGAATGTAGTTGAAGCTTTGGAGGTGAATATAGAATATTGTCTTCTGGTTTATCATCTTCTCACTTTTAATAAATATGTTTTTGTGTTGATGTATTACCTCATGCATTTCAGTCCATGAAAGAAAAAGAAGCTTTCGCATTGAAAGCTGATTTAGAGTCGAAAGGGGAGGTGGATTTTTATGTCTGCACTCTAGGGAAAAATGTATCTATCAAGAAGAACATGGTGAAAATTTCAAAGGAGAAAAAGAAAGAACACCAAAGAGTATTCACGCCCTCTGTAATTGAGCCTTCTTTTGGTATTGGGCGGATTATATATTGTCTTTATGAGCATTCATACTACACACGGGCGAGTAAAGCTGGGAATGAACAGTTAAATGTTTTTGCTTTCCCCTCAATTGTTGCACCTATTAAGTGTACGGTTTTCCCACTCGTCCAAAATCAAAAGTATGAGGATATTGCTAAAGACATTTCCAAGTCATTGACTGTTGCTGGCATATCTCATAAAATTGATATTACAGGTATGTAAATGAGAGATTTATCTCGTTTTAATTCCCCATTGTAGCTTAAGTATATCCTGTTTTGTATTGTTCCACTAAATTACCAATCATTATTTGAGTTTCTGACTGTGATTGTTTGTTTGATCAGGTACCTCAATCGGGAAACGTTATGCACGAACTGATGAACTGGGTGTACCTTTTGCAATCACGGTTGATACTACATCATCTGTGACAATCAGAGAGAGAGACAGCAAGGATCAAATCCGTGTTGATGTGAAGGAAGCAGCATCTGTTGTGAAGGAGGTAACCGAGGGACTGAGGAGTTGGGCCGATGTGTGGGCGGCTTTTCCCCATCATTCTTCTGCATCTGCGGATGAGTAGATCTAGGGTGGTTTTAACACTACAAGGATCCACATACTATAGTTTTAAGTCGGAAATTTTAAAACTATACAAAGCCTACAAGGTTGATGAAGCACAACCAACTAATTGGGGAGATACTTTTTTCTGAATGTGTGTAGCATCTATCTGTTTCTTTTCCCTGTACTTTTACTATTGCAATGCAAAGTTGTGCAATGACAGAAGTATGACTTCAGCCTGAATGTGCTTGAGCAAGTAAAATTTGTAGTCGTTTATTTACTCCGGAAGCATTGTTTGCCATGTGATTTTGGTGCACAATTTTATTCTCATTAGCATTACTCATCCCTTGGCACATGAGAGAAAATAATTGGGAGATCATAATGACCAAAATAAAAATTTCAAACCCAGGAAGAGGTTTCGAACAAAGAGGTTCATGTTCGAATGTCTTTCCTTTTTTAAATTTTTAAAAGACAAACTATAATATTCATCCTAATTATTAATATTCCCACACCATTAATCCCAATTTTTTCTTTTTCACAGAATAAAATTGTCTTTATATTATGAACTGCGAGCTGTCGTCAATGAAACGGCGTCGTAACACCTGCACCTGGAGTTGCGAAATTTGGTCCAATCTTTATCTGTTATTGGAGTTGGACTTTGCTACGGTCAAATATAGCTTTGTTCGCTGTAACCAACAGAAAAAGAAATAAAAGAAAAACAGAAGTAGGCTTTTTTGTTCGTGTGTCGAGGGGTTGAGGCCATAGCGATAGCAGGAAGAAAGAGAAGAAGATGCTGCGAATCGCGGGAAGAAGGCTTTCATCTTCTGCAGTGGCTTGGAGGTCGTCGCAGACAACCCCAGCCTTTGTTTCTGGATCTCATCCGCTTTTCAATAACAACGACGACTCTTCCTCCGATGGCCCTTCGAGATCCCCCAATCAATTTTTCTTCCATTCCCATTTTCCATCTCTGATCAGAGGTCTGCCCTAATCCCCCCACCTTCTGCTTCAGATTTATTTTACAATTGATTGCTTTTATTGTGTAGGGCTACTTGTTCCATCCGGTCAGGATTCTAATTTTTTAGATTCAGAAATTGAAATTGGTTCATAATGCTTATGTAATCTTCATTTCTCTCATTTTTGCTTATTTTCATTGTCATTTTCAATCCAATATTTCCGTAGTAGGATCTTTGGTCAAATCGAAATGGGCATTTCACAGTTTTAATTGAGTATGTGACATGTCACTCGACCTGGGATTTTATGATTTGTTAAAGCATAGCGTTTGTGCTTGCTCCAGATCGATGTGTTTTTAATTTGATTTTGATACTTGCTTTGGTATTCTATTGCTGAATCAATTTTGTGCTTTGAATCCTTCTTAGTAAATTTGTGCTTCCTTTATTGAGATTGAAATAAGTCCGCGATAATGAAACGACAGAAAAATTAGTCTATTTATGAATCCTTTCTTTGTTTTTATGCATTGTCTGGATTCTGGAAAAACTGGCGTTAACTCTTTGGTCATAATAAATCTCATTTCGTTAAGGATTATGGTTAACTACACAAGCTCAGTTGATACCCTGACACAATATCAAGACCTGGGTGTGTGTGGCGTTTATTTAAATTGTTAGTTGCTGGATATCTAGATAGGTCGGTCGAATTTTTGAAAAAATGTAGGCAGTAGCTTCTGTTCAGAGTTATTAATTTGCGTTTAGTTTCTGTACTATACGGATATTTCATATGCTTTGCTACGGATATTTCATATGCTTTGCACTCTTTTGGCTGGGGTTGATAGTTAGGTTATGTTAGACCCTAGCTATCTTTGTTTCTTGATAGATGCCTTTAGTTAGTTATTTGATTGGAAAATGCCTTGCCGATGCGCCTGTCTCATGTGTAGAGGGGAAAATGTGATGTTTCTTCACATGTTTGTCTTGAAACTTATTTGCATGAGATTCAATTGTCTATGGAACCTGTTTGTTGAAAGGTTGGTTCCTCATTTCAGGATTTTCCTCTGAAGCCCTTGCTCCTGCACATGATATTGGTCTTATTTCAGAAATCCCAGCTACCGTGGCAGCTGTGAAGAATCCTTCTTCAAAAATTGTATATGATGAGTACAACCATGAAAGATATCCACCTGGTGACCCCAGCAAGCGTGCATTTGCTTATTTCATCTTGACAGGTGGCAGATTTGTGTATGCCTCCTTGATCCGGCTTCTGGTTCTCAAGTTTGTACTGAGCATGTCTGCCAGCAAAGATGTCCTTGCCCTTGCTTCCCTTGAGGTTGATCTGTCCAGCATTGAGCCTGGTACTACTGTTACTGTGAAGTGGAGAGGGAAGCCTGTTTTTATTAGGCGTAGGACTGAAGATGACATCAAGTTGGCTAATAGTGTAGATGTTCAGTCCCTTCGTGACCCCCAACAGGATGCAGAGAGGGTTAAGAATCCAGAATGGCTTGTTGTTGTTGGGGTCTGCACTCACTTAGGATGCATCCCCTTGCCAAATGCTGGTGATTTTGGTGGTTGGTTTTGCCCATGCCATGGTTCACACTACGACATTTCTGGCAGGATCCGCAAGGGACCTGCACCATACAATCTAGAGGTACCCACTTACAGTTTTTTGAGCGAGAACAAGCTGCTGGTTGGATGAGCATTGCCGGGCGGTTTTTATTTTTTCAGGTGCATCATTTTTATGCGAGGTCTCATAATTCATAGCTTCCTCTACATCAGGGAATGTGATGTTTGCAAACTTCAATTTTTATTCTAGTCATGGTTTACATATGTGGATTTTGTATCTGCAGTCGGTACTGGTTGGAGTTCCGATGTCTTGAATAATACGATTACATTTTTGTTTACTATGTTGAGTTTCGTGGTACTTCAGTTGATTCAATTGAATAATTGAAGCTTGAGTATACGGTTTGCTTTTTGAAAGCATTGTTGACTTGGGGTACACAATTAAACTATATCTTAGAGATCCATCATGCATTTATGGATTTCCATGATACACGCTCCTACACAAGCCCCAAAACTACCGACCTATGTGCTACCTAAAATGAGTGCAAATTTTCTTCAATTTGGCTATAGTTTGGCAGGATACGGCTGGCCCTGCAATTATTTGGAGCCATCAAATTACTCAAAAGCAAGATGACTTCCATCTCAATATCTTGCAATGCCAGATGAAATGTTCCAGAAACTTTGTTAACAAGTAGCACATTTTGCATTTGCCTTGCAGATTTGTGGACGAAGGTCCAATAATGTGGGCAATTGAACTATAAGAATTTAATACAGATAACATGCTAAGCGGTAGAAAAGTAGCTGGAACTCCAAATGTTAGACCGCTGCAATTGGCATATGCCCAATGGGGAAGAATATAGATAGTTGTTTTGTAAACTCTAATTATTATGTTGTGCCTGTAAGTAGGAGAACATAAGAGGCAAAGCAATCTTGGATAGGAAGTAATGGGAGCTTTGCATCCATATGTATCTGAGGGCCGCCTTTAACCAACATCAATTGGCAAGTGCCTAGAGTTGAGCCAAAAAGCTAGCAGTCTTGGATAGGAACTAACGGCAATTTGCCTCCATATGTATCTGGGAGTTGGCTCTCATCAATATCACTGAGCAGCATGGAGCTCAGTTTTTTGTTTTCAACAAAAACTATCTGCAAGATTATACGGTAAACAGATGATCGAGTTAAACTAAACAATCACTTGGTAGTTGTTAGCGGTGTAAAAGTAGCAAGATGTGCAGATGACCCTGTTTTTCCTGGTAAAGAAGTACTTTTACCTTCTTCTTGGTTTTGTTGTCAATAAATGGGTAAACCATCTTCCATGCCGTCATGAAAACGTAAGGCACATGAACAAGATATAACTTGCCAAGCCTTTCTGGGTAGCAATCCTGTCCAAGAAAACAAGTAACCATTATTACCTCGTCTGAGTGACGTTAAAGCGTAAATGTCATTCCAATGTGCCACAGTTGAACAGAGATGCTACACATTCCAATTGCATCTGTTCCACCTACTCGATCAAAGACAATCATTTGGAAACTTGTTTGATGGAATGTAATGAGGAAAGTCGAACCTGCAAGATCGACAGAGCTGCTAAGTATCCACGAATGTCGCTATTGACGTATCCCCATCCTTCAAGATCTGCAATGGATACAAACTTTTCCTTGCCTGCTGGCATTCTGAAAGATAAACATAACATAGAGCATATGACATGGCTACAATTATTCAGGGCACATTCTAAAATATCGATAACCCCTTAAAACTATCATATTCAACTGACTGAAGTACCAAATATCAACTGCCATAACTAACATGTGAGTTACCTGGCACTTATTTTGTCAAGGCTATAGACTACAAAACCTGCAAAAGGAGACGGTCAAAATTTAAACTGAATGCAAGAACTTTTCTGGTTTCATTAGAATAGCAGGCCTTACGTTTGAACTCCTCTAGTTTGGTGCGCTTATGCCTCCCACCAAAAACGACGACGATGGGGCGTCCCGTCTTGTCCAGACCTTGCATAAACAGCTTGTTATGAGCAAGCTCTCTTGGAATTTCTGACTCTGAGATGGAACCATTTGGCACAAATGACTTCCTCCAACTCAGATACTTGAGGAACAGGTTAGAAGCCTTCTCAATATCCAGATCACGCGCCCGCAGAAATCTCCGGATCATGAAATCATCCACATCCTGCATAGCATGCCAGCATCATGCAAGTATGAGAACAATGTAGCCAATCTTGAAATTGGGTATGCAAAAGTTTAAATTAAACACTAATTTTTGTTATAAAAATAGATTGTGTATATAGAAAGGACAAGTTTATTAATTTTCCTTGACATATCAACATTAATCCATCAGCAGTTTGAGCACAAAACAGTTCAATTGAAACCAGCTTCATCTCCTACCAAACCAATTAACCATACATGCTCAATCACCCTAATCATTATCATCTGAAATCGCAACCATTTTAGCTTTAACAATCTAAGCTAGTAGTATCATTAGATAGAAGATGAGGGCTAAGCAAAGCAAGTTATTAGGAAAAAGTGAGACCAAATTTAGAATAATTTCTAATCAAAGAATTGTCAACAAAAGTAAAGTGACAAACAGGAAAAGAGGAAAGGGTAGAGAGAGAGAGAGAGAGAGAGAGAGAGTGGGAAGAGTTATCCAATTCCAACCTTGGAGGAGGGATCTTCCCTTTCCACAAGAGCTCTCATGATGCCCATCTTGTTCCTCTCAATCTCATTGCTTTCAAAGTTTGATTCTTCGATCCCCTCATTTACTTCCATCCCCTCATTTACTTGCATGCTCATCACACTCTCTTTCCCATTGGATGACTCCATAACTCTTCTTCTTCTTCTTTTTTTTACCAAAAATTCTTTCTTGTTATGTTCAAGCAACCTCCTTTCCTTTTCTTCCCACTTCCTACGACAAAACCCAGCTTTCCAAATTCATAATAAATATCAAGAGATGGACTTTAAACGAAGGCAGTTGAGAAACAGAGATAAGCTAGTCGCCGACCTGCGGAATTTAACGGACTCGTGACCTTCCGTTAACGAAAAGTCTACAGATAGAGACTTTTTAATGTTTCCTTTGGAACTCCACTATTGACTTGACTCTTCCTTTCTGTTCGTTGACAAACGTCCGTTTCTGTTTCCGTTACCGGTTCGATAATAATTGGGCTTTATTTGCGCGGCTTGGTCTCACTGACTGGAGTTGGGCCAACTAACCAAACACATGTCATTGTCATAAGGAAAAGGAGGGCCACCAGGTGGGTCCATTCGTTTCAGCAAAAGCTGTTTCTCGATTGATTGATTTTTCTGTTTGGACTGAACATAATTTTATAGTATTTTTTGGAGTGATCATTATGTTTTTTCTTTTTCTGGTAACTCGCAAATGTAACTACTATTTTGGCTTGTACACGTATCAAATATTGTATTACATTTGAATGAAGGTATCTTATTATCACAAAACGTTCCTAAGGTTTACGAAACGATCAGATTATATCCTTAATTTTTTTTTTTTTTTGGTTATTCGTGGTTCTCAAGATTAGTATGCATAATCACAAATGGTTCCTGTCGTTAGGTTCCGTCAAAAACTTTGTTAGTTTGTTGACGTGGCATATATATATATATCACAAAATATCCCGGAGGTTCACGTATCTATCACAAATGGTCCTTATAAATTTTTTTAATTTTTTAAATTTAAAATTCATAACATTTTTGTTTCTTTTTAAAATTTTATGAATTTAAATTATTTTAAAATATATATTATATTTTAAATACATGTGACACTATATTATTGTAGATATGGGCTACATATATATGCCACATCAACAAACTAATAGAGTTTTTAAAAAATAATTTAAAATTTATAAAATGAAAAAAAACTAAGGGTTTAGGGTTCATAAATGGTCCTCAAGATTAAAGTCCTTCTATAAATGGTTTTTTCATTTATAAATAATTCTAAAAAGAAAACCAAAATTTTATGAATTTTAAATTAAAAAATAAATAAATTTGTAGGGGCCATTTATGATAGGTGTGTGAATCTCAGGAATGTTTTTTTGATATATATATATATATGTATGTCACATCAGCAAACTAAATGAGTTTTTGACGGAACCTAACGGTATGGATTATTTGTGATTGCACATACTAACCTTGAGAACCATGAGTAACACAAAAAAACTTTAAGGATGCAATCTGATAGTTTCGTAAACCTTAGGGACGGTTTGTGATAATAAGCTAAATAATTAAAGTGCTTTTCGTTTGGAGAAAGACTTTATGAAATGGGAATATAATTATTTTACTATATTCGATCAATAATGCTTGATATACGTGATAACAGTTTCACATGTCATATCAACAGGAGCGGAGCCACCATAAGGTCAATAAAGTCAAACGACCCCATAGTAGCCATGGCAATAGGCTTGGAGGCCCTTGTTTGTTGGTGGTGCAACCTCATAAGGTGCACATAAGCTATTCGATAAGTCCCAAAGGAGAAGCCACGAAGCTTTGTGTGTAGCAGCACAGAAGCAATGCTCTTTTTTATTTTATTTTTAATTTTATAAATCACCTTGAAAACTACATTGTGATGTAGTCTCCCCAACTTCTTTTAATGATCTGGCCTCAAAACTACGTTGTTTTAAGCCAGGCTTTAAAAAAAAAAAAATTCACCCACGCCACCCTGCTTACCCGACTCCACACACCCAAATTAATTCCCAAATTATTTCATAAAATGGTAGTCAATATGTTAGACAACCATTATCTGTGGTTTCGAATTCAAATTCATTCCCGACTTTGGCTAAGGCTTGCTAGCTGTTTTTTTGACTTGTTCAACTTTATTTGATAAGGTTGTATTTTGATTTTCAAATACATACCATGTAAGTGCCCGTTTGACATTGCTTATTTGGGGTGATAAGTGATTTTTTTAAAATTTTGGGAAGCCCAGTCTGTTGGTAAACTATGAGAAAATCACTTATTGTTAAAAATTATCGTGAGAGAAAACTATAAGGAAAAACAGCTAATGAGGTACTTTTATTTTTGAATTATGCGGGAATTAGTTTCGAAGAGGCGCTAGGTTTAATGATTATTTTGGAATCATTTTTTTATTATGCGGGAATTAGTACTGTTGAGGCCCAAAAAAATCACGAGAAGCCCAAAGACATTTAAAGCCCAATATAACATATAATGTTGGTCATGCGCTAATCCAAGCTGTATTTTGAGAATTAATTCATTAAATAAATATAGAAATAGTGTGCATGTCATGCCAAGCCAATAATACATTTTTTATATGTCAATCACCTACCAAGCTCACATGAACTCAAGTCATGTGGTTTAAGGGACTTGCATGAGGGATTGTGGAGTGGAAGGTTACAGATGTCTATAAGGCCCACGAAAGCTCTTAAATAATGGAGATTTTGGGCTAACTACTTGGGAGCACCAAAGTCTAAGCCCATTACTTGGAGTTCTCCAATGTGGCGCAAATGAGATATTCTTCAAGTACTCCCTATTACCCATTGGAAACAAGCCAAGTCCGACACTTCCTTTTGCCCATAAGAAATAGTTATTTTCCAATGCCTAACTTTACTTGTTGGAAATAAAAATGTCCCAATGCTCTCTTTTACCGGTTGAAAATAGACTCTCTCTCTCTCTCTCTCTCTCTCAAAAGGCTCCATCCCAAATCTGAAACACCCATTCTCTCAAGCTAAGTTGAAACCATAGTCATTACCCTAGAAAACGCAGACATTGCAAGCTCTTCGTCTAGTTGCTGAAAACACCAAAAATCTCAAGCCTTAATCTTTTCTTTATACTCATTTCTCTTAGCTCCCACACCACAAGCTTATCATGCCAAGCCTAATAGTGTCTTAATTCACCAAAGCAAACTTTCATGCCAAGCCTGCGCAACATCAATGCACCATTTGCAACTCTTCGTCAAGCTGTCGGAAACATCAGTACAAAACACGTAGCCGTTGGAAAAAGAACAAAGTACTCCTCTGAGACCTGCTTCTCCCTCGGGATGCTTTGGATCTAGTTCTCGCTAACTCAGAAAAAGGGGCAACGAAAGCTTGATTCACTACTCTATAGTTGTCCAAGAATCAACAAGCCTGGACGAGCCTTCTGAAGGAAAAAGACCCCAACAAGTACCAATAACACTCTTAACAAAAAGTTTACCAAATGTCAAACTACTTTTATCTCACAACTGATTTCTCTCACGACAAATCTGACAACGATTATTTTCCCAGCACAACAATGCCAAGTTGACCCTAAATAGGGCTTGATGTAATATGTTACCTGATGTACTCAAGTTGTGCAATGATGGTATGCTAATTTGATCAAAACTCTTCCCTGTGAAGTTCATTCTTTCAGTATACTTGTTCTTGTTGTTTATTGTAACAGAGAGAACAATTTGACTGGGCTAGAAAAATTCCGTTCAAGTGGAAAGTAGGTTTTGTGTTTTGATTAGTTGAAAGTGCTATTATTTAATTTTTCAATTTTATTTTCTTCTAAAAAAAGTTTCGGAACTTTTACACTGCAACCCCATGGCCTAAGAATCCTGAATCCGCCTTTGCATATCATTATTGATCAAGGATAGCAAAATAGTGTTATCTCCATTGCAACTAAATTTTTCTCCTTCTCCTATGTTGAATGAAGGTATCCAAAGAATTAAAGTGGAATATAGCTCTATTATTGCTTCCTTGATTAAAAGTGAGATTATGCTAGTCATCCGCTATTTAGTCTCATTCATGACTGCAAGGAGCTACTAATGACGGTACTATTTCTCTTGTTTATAGAGAGCAGATCATCTAGCACATACTCCAATTTGGGTTATAAGGCCATTTCCAGTCATGGGCTATATCCCAAATATAGTCCTAAATTAATGCAGAACTCATCTCCAGCCATGGGCTAAATAAAATTTTGGCTAAATTTGGAGGGCCACATTTGGCCATTTAGCCCTTCAACCGGGCCAAATGTAGCCTAGCTTTGGCTTAAGCCAAATTTATAGTGGGCCTCATCCATGTGCTTTTCAACAACCAATCATTAAAGCACTCCCCACTCCCCTTTTCAAAATAATAAAATATGAAGAACCTTAAAATATAGCCCTGCATGGCTGGAGATGGGAAAATTTAGCTCTGCACTATTCTTTAAAAAATTAATATTTTGGCAAAAATTTTAATCATGGACTACATTTAATCATATTACTGGAGATGGCCTAATGTTGTGGAGTTTCCCCCCTTCTATTGTAAGCCTTCTGGCTAATGATTATATGGTTGGACTTAATTCATATTTCATTTGTTAAGGGATTGTTGAATTCAAGTCATAATTGAATTATAAATTAAAATCAGACTTCATATTTGTTATAAGCAAGGAATTAGTGTATCATGTGGTATGAGTATTCAACTAGTTGGGTCGATTGATCATAATTATCCAAGTGTATGTTTACCCATTTACACATTTATCCAAGTGTTGTTTGTCGGTGACTTTTAACACTAGAGTCATTGCGCAACAACCGGAGAAAGGGAAAGCGCGGGAATTAATTAATATATTCAAGAGCCTGGCGCTTTATTTATCTAACACTCAGCTTTCTGAAATGGACTTGTCATCAAACCGGCAAAACAAATACAGCTTTCACTAACCACAAGGATTTGTACATGTTGTTTGCTGCAAAATCCTTCTTAAGAAATCTAAATAAAAAAGAAAAATGCACGCCTTCACTGTTTCTTCAAGCAATTCCTCTCTGCATTTCTCTATCGATGCTCACCTGAAAACCTCCGTTTCTTATTCCATTTCCACAAACCTAGAGTCTAAGAAAGCTTCCCAACTACTACCCGCGCGACGTCCCAACCATATAATCTTCATATATACTGCCTCTACAACCTCAATGATACGAAAACCGGAAGACCCATTTCGATTTTCAGTCAAATTAGGTATCCGAGAGTGGGTTTCAGTTGGGTCAAAATGAGAACTTGCATGTGGGTTCTTGCTCTTCTTTTTGTTTTTGGGTTTGCTTGGGAAGTTGGTGCGGATCAGAACGTGCCTACAGAGAGGATTTCAGGTATGCCTCTGTCATTGTTCGCTTCAAATTGGTTTCTAAAGCAGTTTCCTTTTTGCTACATTTGCCCCATATAGGCTCAGGTGTTTGAAGAAATGCCCTTTTGTTGTTTCCATTAAGTCCCAGTTCAGAATAGTTGAGGTTCAGAATTTTTGGAATTTCTTTTGATGACTTTCGTTGTAGGGCCAAATTGGAGGCACAAGTTTTGGTCAGCTCCGAGATGATTAGTGGTTGCATTTCGATTTTATATGAAATTCATACTGTAACTTGTATATGAGATACCAAACTATGATTATTTATCTCATATCTGTTTCACTGGTAGATGTTCTTTTATCCTTTTTCATAAACATTACATCAAAGATTAATCTCGGGAAAGTGGAAAAGGGGGGCTCCAATTGGTTCTTGGAAAGACGAGCAGTAAATTTTTATCCATAAGCATTTCGTAGCATTTTATTCTATTTGATGCATACTCTTTTTCCGATTGACTAATGGAAGAATGATGCAGGAAGCGCTGGTGATGTCTTGGAGGATGATCCAACTGGAAGGTTGAAAGTTTATGTTTATGAGCTGCCTAACAAATACAACAAGAAAATCCTTCAGAAAGACCCAAGATGTCTCAACCATATGTTTGCTGCTGAGATCTTCATGCATAGGTTCCTCTTATCCAGCCCGGTTAGAACCTTCAATCCTGAGGAAGCAGATTGGTTTTATACCCCTATCTACACCACTTGTGACCTTACCCCCACTGGCTTGCCGTTGCCCTTCAAATCTCCGCGGATGATGAGAAGTGCAATACAGCTCATATCTACAAACTGGCCTTATTGGAATCGAACAGAAGGAGCTGATCACTTCTTTGTTGTGCCTCATGACTTTGGAGCCTGCTTTCATTACCAGGTAGGACCCTTCTACTTTGTACCTATGCATGATTTCCTTTGGTTAAAGAAAAGTAAGCTGAATCTGAACATGAGAAATTTATATGAATTAGCAGTCCTGTACAGGTGCATACTGCAAAATAGAGTATGAATTCATCCTTCCCAAAATTTGAGGGGAAAATTAAACTTTTTGTGAAGAATATTTATGCAATTAGCTCAATCACAAAAATAAGAAAAGGTTACTTGTACTGGTTATGGCTAATATAAGGTTTATACTACTGGCATTTTATAGGAAGAGAAAGCTATTGAACGGGGGATTCTTCCACTGCTCCAGCGTGCCACCTTGGTTCAGACCTTTGGGCAAAGAAACCATGTATGCTTGAAGGAGGGTTCAATCACAATTCCTCCATATGCTCCACCACAAAAGATGCAGGCCCACCTGATTCCCCAAGAGACTCCACGGTCCATCTTCGTATACTTCCGTGGTCTATTTTATGACATTAATAATGACCCTGAAGGTGGTTACTATGCGAGGTACGTTTATCAGGAAAGTGTTTTACCTTTGAATTTTATGAACATGTTTTCTGTATACTCTTTTATGAGATGGGAATAACATGGACGTGAATGATGAAAGATTATCTCTGTATCTGGCCTTCATGCATGATCTTCTTGAGTCAAATGTAACTCCCTCTTGACCCTTTGAATTGACTGACAGAGGTGCGAGGGCAGCTGTTTGGGAGAATTTCAAGAACAATCCTCTGTTTGATATCTCCACTGACCATCCAACTACATATTATGAAGACATGCAACGATCTATATTCTGTTTATGCCCTCTGGGTTGGGCCCCATGGAGTCCGAGGCTAGTTGAAGCAGTGGTGTTTGGTTGCATCCCTGTTATTATAGCTGATGATATTGTCTTACCCTTCGCTGATGCTATCCCATGGGAAGAAATTGGAGTTTTTCTAGCTGAGGAGGATGTTCCTAACCTGGACACAGTTCTCACTTCTATTCCACCAGAAGTAATCCTCAGGAAACAAAGATTACTTGCAAATCCTTCGATGAAATGGGCGATGATGTTCCCGCAACCTGCACAACCAGGGGATGCTTTCCATCAGATACTAAACGGGCTGGCTCGCAAATTGCCCCATGCTCAAAGTGTTTACTTGAAGGGTGGTCAAAAGATTTTAAATTGGACAGAAGGTCCGGTGGGAGACTTGAAACCATGGTAATGGAAGTAGTATATATCTTTTTGAGCAAGAGCCTTGCATTGTATCCTGTCTAGTCCCCAGTACCAAATTGAGGAGGATATGCTGCTGGGCTGGACTTTACTGAAAATGTAAAAAAATTATTCTTCCTTGCTGAGTTTTGTATAGGTGCTGACATTCAGCAGATTCTTTCTGGATGCAAAATAGTTGAACTGAAAATGCAAACATGCGTGCTTCTTCTCTGCTGCAGAATGGTTGATGCCTTTTGGATATTCTTTTTTGCCACTGTAGTCAAAATCTGCAATTTGATTTTGACAAATAGGCCCCTGTGTTGATTGATGTCGCAGTGACTTATTTCCTGAGCAACATAACAAATAAGTTCAGCCCTTGAGCTACCTTAAGAGCCGGATTGATGGGGGTCAAGCAACAAAGTAAAATATTTGTTTAATTGGGTAAGCCAAGTTAAAGCAATGCCTCATTTTTCACCCATTTTGGCTCTACAAGTTAACTATCTGAAATTTATATCCAACTTTCAATCCACCTACCACCTACCATCACGTTGCTGTGATTTTGAGTGTGCTCTTCTACATTTCAACCCTTTTATCTGCTCTTCTACATTTGGAGAGAGTTCATTTCAAGTTTTCAGCTCACAAGCTAATAATTAATGACATATGCAGTAAGTGCTGAATCTGATATACATAGAGGCTGCAGAATACGACACAAAATTTCCTTCTTCTTCTTTCTGCTTGCACGACACAATGTATACATGGTTATACATCTCAATCAAACACTGAAATTGCGTCTAGCTTTAAAGTAACGCTTGCAAGTTGTGACCAGATACAATTCAGTTTGCTTATTTGACAATTGTTTTAATACAAACAAAAATTAGGGAAGGGGGAGTCAATTACAATTTTTTTTTTTTGGACAAAGCGATATTGGTGTAACCCACATGTGTAGTAATTGCATTTAACAACATAAGCTACAATTTTTTTTCTTCCATATATTTAAGAATCTTTAGTCTAACTACGGATAAAAGCATATGTTTCAAATCTTTAAAGGGTCACTTAGTAAACCAAAAGGTGTGATGTGGTTGGCAAACTGCCACCTCAAGTTGGTGAACTGCCTGGTGCCTCAATGACAGAAGTTCAAAACTATTTAGGAGCACTTTGTGGCCAGGGGCAAGCCGAACCTCGAGTGGGGATTAATCTCACTCTTCGTGTGTGAGGACACCTCATGGCATTTACCTTTAAAAAAAGTCTGTAAATAAATTTAATAATTATATTAATATCTTTATAATTCAAAATTAAATATGTTGTAAGTAGTGGCGAAGCCACCTACAAGGTAGGTAGCCTTTAAGGGGAAAAAAAAAATACAATCTATATTTTTACCTTTTTCTATAAATAAAAAAATTGCTAATTTCAAGTGTAGTTCACTCAAATTTAATCATCGATTGAAAAAAAAAAACTCTGGCAATGGTTGCAAAGCTTCATGACTCGTTTTCTCTTATAATATTGTACCACATTCTTCAAGAACATAAGTACATACACACACACATGTAAACCATGTATCATCGATTTTGTTAAATTTAAGGGAAGATTCATTTCCAAACTTGACTTTTAGATTTAACCACCTATACTTTATTATAGTAAATGGTACAAAATCCAGCCAAGATTTACTTACTTTGTCTACAATACGTTTTTTTTCTTTTCTCTATTCAATTCAAGCCATCAATTGCATGGCGACCACCAACCTGTACAACAACAACCCATGTAAGGCCATGGGCAGAAGAAGGTGATAAATAACCCCCAAAAAAAAAATAAAAAAAAATCTATCTAATTAGGATTATGACGTCAGCATTGACTAGGCATTGGCATATCGCAGCTAGCTACCACCAACCGCCAAGTGCCAACAGTTCCATCGAGAGAGAGAGTCGTTGTCCCCTACCTGCTGCCGTTTGGGGTCTACCAAAAATCACAAAAACTTTTAACCCAAAAAATAAAAATAAAAAATAAAAAATAAAAAATCATCGTTTGTATCGCATCGTAAATAAAAGGAGAAATCTTTCCTCAATAATCAGTCTTCCACCAACCCCCACATTGGCTTTGTCTCCTTCCCCCTCTTACTCTCCCTTTCTGCGAGTGCCCTGTGATCTAAATGGCTTCCATCTCCAAGCTCTCCAATCCCAGCCCTGCTTCTTTGTCGTCCACTTTCAACCCTAGAGCTTCCCAGCCCAAGTGCTTGATCGGCTTCCTCACCACCACCACCAACTTCAGCTCCAAAGTTTCTTCTTCCAAGTTGTCCATACGAAGCAAGTCGTCTCTCAAGGGCTCTCTGGTGTATGTTTCCTTCTTTTGGGTCTACTGTTTTTGTTATTGATTTTTTATATTCTCTGGTAATATATATATGCTTTCTTGATTATGGTCCGTGCATATCTTTAATATTTTCCGATGCTTTGTTGGGTTTTTAGAAAGCTGGATTTGAGCTTTGTTTGTTTCATTAATTTCGTATTTTGTGTTCAAAATTTTCTTATTTCGTGTTCTTGGTGGTTGGTAATTGATTGTGAATCGAAAACGTTGCTCATTTGGGTTCACGGAACATTGCTTTTTGCAGTGTGAGATGTTCTCAAGGTGATGGAAATGGAAGTCCAGCAAAGAGAACATATCTCCATGATCTCTACGAGAAGGAAGGGCAGAGTCCATGGTATGATAACCTCTGCCGACCTGTTACAGATCTGCTTCCACTTATTGCAAGTGGGGTTCGAGGTGTAACTAGTAACCCAGCGGTAATTACAAATGATTTGCTCTTTTATTACATTTCTCCTGCGTTTTTTGAACCTTGTTTACTGTTCTGTCATGTATGGAAGATGTTTTTCTTGATCTAAGATCAAATGAGAAATGGGTTTGGAAGTGAAATGATCAAAATGTTGGAAAAATTGTTTCTTTAAATGCGTCTTCTGTGGTTTTCGTGTATTATTTGCGATCCGATCTAACTAGCTCTTTATAATTTATGATTGCAGATTTTCCAGAAAGCAATATCCACTTCAAATGCTTATAATGATCAATTCAGGTATGTTCAATGATTGTCTTGGTCGGGAGGGGTTGTGTCTGGGGGATGTTTGATATTTTTATGGATTTATCAGTTGTCCTAGTAGAGTTTTGTACTTCATTAGAAAGACTGTATACACAACTCATTATCATTTGAGTTGGTGGTTTTAGGCTCCTGGGCATCTGGGGCTAGGAAGGTGGACGTGTTGTTCTTTGCTTTCTAGTCCAAAAGTTTTAAGTAGCAACCACCTGATACACTTTGTTTATCTGTCAATAACTTAAATTAATGGACTTTGCAGGGAACTTGTACAATCAGGAAAAGACATTGAAAGTGCATATTGGGAACTTGTGGTGAAGGACATTCAAGATGCTTCAAAACTTTTTGAGTCAATCTATGATCAAACTGATGCTGGTGATGGTTATGTTTCTGTTGAAGTTTCTCCCAAACTTGCTGATGACACTCAAGGGACTATCGAGGCTGCAAAATGGCTACATAAAGTAGTTGCCCGCCCCAATGTCTACATAAAAATCCCTGCTACTGCTCCATGTGTCCCTTCAATTAAGGAAGTCATAGCAAATGGCATAAGTGTCAATGTGACAGTAAGTATAGTTCTGTTTATCTTTTTGTTTTTCCTTTTCTTTGCAGGGTAAAATTCCATTCTCATCTTTGCTTTGGTCAGAATAGATGGCCAATATAGTTGTTGGAAAAGTATGTCTCAGTAGAATTTTTATTCGGTGTGGTGGGTTGGCTGACCCACTTGCCTGAGTGATTGTTTACATGGTGCGAGTAAAATCTGCCTGCTGTGCTATAGCTGTCATAAATTCTTGCGGGTAGACTGATCTTTGTTCTTGTTGGGCCCCTATCATGAGAGGAAGTTTTCGGGCGGTGTTGGCATCATCTCTAATTCATTTGAACTCTTTAGTATTTTAACTTGTGTGCCTCCTTACATAATGATCTTACAATTACGTATTTTATATGTTTTGACTCTTACTTTATCTTAATGTGCGCACAGCTTATATTCTCTCTCACTAGATATGAGGCAGTCATTGATGCTTACTTGGACGGCCTTGAGGCTTCTGGATTAAATGACCTCTCCAAAGTCACAAGTGTTGCTTCCTTCTTTGTCAGTAGGGTGGACACCCTTATTGACAAGTTGCTTGAAAAGATTGGAACTCCAGAAGCCCTTGACCTTCGAGGAAAGGTAAATCAAAATCACATGTTCAACTTCTTTTTGTTAACAAAAACCAAGAAGGTAGAGATTTGCTAATGTCGCGAGTTAACTGTTTTAGGCTGCTGTAGCTCAAGCTGCTTTAGCATACCAACTCTACCAGAAGAAATTCTCTGGCCCTAGATGGGAGGCTTTGGTGAAAAAAGGTGCCAAGAAGCAGAGGCTGCTGTGGGCCTCAACCAGCGTCAAGAATCCTGCCTACCCTGATACTTTATATGTTGCTCCTCTCATTGGCCCTGACACGGTGAGTCATTTTAGAGTCCAATATGATATCTGGTGTTTGATGGGTATTATTTATCATGATTTAATAGACTTCAGAATTCAATACCAACTTTTTCAATATTGTTTTGTTAATCAATATGGCTTAATGTTTGATGCCAACTTTCCTCAGGTTTCAACCATGCCAGACCAAGCTCTCCAAGCATTTATCGATCACGGTACTGTTTCAAGGACAATCGACTCCAATGTCTCCGAGGCTGAAGGCATTTACAGTGCACTAGAGAAGTTAGGAATCGACTGGAGCTACGTTGGGAACCAACTCGAAATTGAAGGAGTGGATTCCTTCAAGAAGAGTTTTGACAGCCTGCTTGATACTCTGCAAGAGAAGGCCAACTCTCTTAAATTGATTAGTCTGTAAGATGTAAGATTGTGAGAACTACTTGTATGAGTTGAATAAAGCTGGTGGGTGGGGCCTTGTCTTCCTGTAAATTTAGGCTGAGTGCTTTGTAAGACGTTAATTACGTTTGATGAGTTCATACCAGCTTCAAGTTGAGAGAGAGAGATTACATTTTGCTCCTGCTTTGGTGTTCGGCAATGTTTTCTCCCCATCCTATGAAAAAGCTATTTAGACAGTAACCTACAGAAATGTACATCTGATGCACACTGCCTTTCTGGTTTGCTATTTATTCAGTGGCCAGATGAATAACATGGGATATGTGGACCGACCTGACCCCCGAGTGCTTTTTCATTTGGATTTGAGAATAAAATTGAATTATGGGCCAACGAGCAGATGATGGTCAATGTTAATTACTGGTTTGCTACTTGAAGGAAATAGTATGCTATGTCAACAAATTAACAGTTTGAACAGATCTGGATTAGGCTAGTAGCCATGGTTGTGCGGGTTTGTTTGGGACTACTTCTGCAGGAAGTATTTTTGCTCATAAGCACTTTTATTATAAAGATGATGAAATTTTCATAACAAATCGAAGTGTTTCATAGAAAAGCACTTGAGATTGTGACTCATAAGTACTTCTAAACTTTTATGTCAAATGCTGTCAGAAGCAATTTTAGTTGTCATAAAGCGTTTTTAGCCCCTTCAAAAGTATTTCCAAACAGGCCCCCACCTTCTTGGCTATCTCTTAGATTGTCATTTGTATAAATAAATAAATAAAAATTATTGTTGTTGAAATATGTTAATCAAATTTTGATTGTGTTATGGACATAACATGTCGCACCATATCTAAAAGTGAAACTAGATGGAAACTATTTAAGGGAAAAACAAGAAAGCTATAAGGGAAAAACGAAAGAACCAAAAAAATAATAAAAAAAAAAGAAGGCTTGAGCTTGACAAGTTGAGGCCGTTATCTTCCCGCGAAACACATTTCCTGGCCCCCAGTCACCACTTCACACAGTTCACCCTTTTCTCCCAAGTCACAGCTAAAATGGCCTCAATCTCAGCCGTCGGGTCTCCACCCCGACCGCTGTCTTCTTCACCTGTCGGAAAATCTTCAAACCCGGTACGTCGTTTTGCGCTTACCTTCTCCCTGATGCGCCAGAGACAGCGCGGACCTCAATCTCTTCTTCTTCCGGAACCGGAGAAATTTTCTGATTCAGGTGCAGGCGGTTAGTAAATTAACCATTGAGATATTTATTGATTAGTTAAATTGGGCTTGACCCACGAGATTCAAAGATTGTATTTTGCTATCAATTGAATAAAGTTTGAATCTTTGATAGGTGGAAGCAATCCTATTGAACGAAGAAGTTTTGTCTTTTCATCCATTGGAATGGTAGCTGCAACCTTTTGCAATGCTTCAAAAGATGGAGTAGCCCTGGCATCTCAATTTGCTGACAGTTAGTAATTTCTTTTTCCTAATGCTGCTCATGGGTCAAATATTATACATGTTTATATAATCTGTGTACTGTGTCACTGTGTTGCTTTTTGCTGACAGTTGAAAATTGTTGCTTTTTCTCATATCATTGATTTCATTCTGAATTGTTTTCAACTACTTACAGTGCCAGCACTTAGGGGAAAGGACTATGGCAAGTCGAAAATGAGTTATCCAGACTACACAGAAACTGCATCAGGTCTTCAGTATAAGGTCACCTACTGGAACATTAACCATACCTCCTTGGTTTAGTTAAATTCATAAGCTCTTCAGCGTGTTTTTTATTTTTATTTTGTGGTATCTAATGCAGGACTTACGACTAGGAGATGGCCCCAAACCCAAGATGGGAGAGACAGTAGTGGTAAGCCACCCATTCTTTGAGGGCATGCTTTCAAGTTTTTACTTGGGTTTTCACTTTTCATGTACTAAGTGGGAATCTTACATTCAGATAAGGTGTCTGTTTGAAATTAGGTTCAATTTGTATAAATGGATTTGTCTGTTATATGAAAATCTATAGAACGAACTTCCTTTACTTTGGATGGAAATTTTGGATGAAGTCAACATAGACTCGTGCCGGCTTGCAAATGTTTTTATCTTCAAAGTTTGGTCGTTATTGTGGTTTTTGATATTTGGATGTGTTCCAGGTTGATTGGGATGGTTACACCATAGGATATTATGGACGTATCTTTGAAGCTCGAAATAAGACAAAGGGCGGTTCATTTGAGGTATGGAACACTTCTCATTCCTTAACTGTGGACTTCGTAGCGTTGCATGAGCTTAATTGACAGACTCCATTCCATGGTTTCTCAAATGCAGGGTGATGACAAGGCCTTTTTCAAATTTAGAGTAGGATCTCAGGAGGTGAGAGATTTGTGAACCAATTCAACCAGACAATCTTGGTTGTTGCAGCTGTTTGTTTATTATTTCGCTTTGTGATTCTCCATGGTCTCATGTGTTTTGTCTCATAGTTTGTCCAACACTACATCAAAAGGTCGTTAATAATACAATATTGTGCAATTCTGTAGATTAGGATTCAGTTGGAAGAGTGAGGAGGACAAATTGCTGTTTTAAATTGAACCGTAGATCTTGAGTTGTTTACTGGCTTGTTAGCATGTAATTACTCAAATACTCGATTAGTGGGCTCTAATGGTGGTGTTTGGTCCTTGAATCTTCAGGTAATACCAGCTTTTGAGGAAGCTGTTTCAGGCATGGCTCTTGGTGGCATTAGAAGGTGCTGCATGTTTTTCTGTAGCATATAGCAGTTGCTTAAGGAATTTTCAAGAAGTTAGGTTGAATGAGCAGTTTAATACATCACATATTATATGCAAATTTCACAATCTAGTTCACAGTGATGCAGGATCATAGTGCCCCCAGAGTTGGGATATCCTGAGAATGACTACAACAAAAGTGGACCAAGACCCACAACATTTTCGGTAATTCTTGTGTCCTTTTGGTGATTCTTGTAATGAAATTCTGCTTGTACTTATAAAGGTAGAATGTCGATGTTTCACAGGGCCAACGAGCCTTGGATTTTGTGCTGAGGAACCAGGGGCTGATAGACAAGACTCTTCTGTTTGATATTGAGCTCATCAAGATCATACCCAACTGAATTTCCTTTGAAATTCAACATTTATCACAGGAAATTACTTAGCTGGCTATAAAAAATGCGGCTTATTTATCATGAGTTTATTATTCAAGATGCCAGAAGATATTTGGTTAGCTGAGAAAAGCCGGTTTCTTTGATTATATACCATTAATCTTGAGGGAGAAGATTTCTTTCCATGAAGCCGAGAGAGTTGAAATGAAAATGTGCGGCAAGTAGCTAATTGTCTCAAGCCTGTCCTCTCTCTCTCTCTCTCTCTCTCTCTGATAAGCTTTTTGTAATCTGTACTTTTCAAGTTTTTTCATGCAGTACATCTGTAAGTGAAACATTAAATTGAATCACCTAAGCTGGCATTGTGGCGTTTTGTGGAGACTGGACCTCTATGTCTTTGAGGTGCAGCGCCTGTGCTGTTTTCCTCTTTGTTTTCTCTTCGTAATGGATGTGTTTTCGACCCAAAAAAAAAAAAGCTGGCATTGTGCTGCATCAACTGCTCCTCTACATGTAGCAAATTTTTTTTTTCGAAGATAAGAGAACTAAAAACAACTGCCGCTAGTCCATGAAACTGGAGTAAATCTGAAGTCATGTCAGAAGCTACAATCTTCATCATAAATATGACACTAAACAAGACAGAATCCAGTAAAAGTACGCATCATCAACATTTAATTGCAAAACGGGGAAGAAAATCAACACATAAGAAGAGGGGACAAAAACATCCTAGAGAACAATAATTTAAACCTGCTGACCACTAAATCCAAAAAAAAAAAAAAAAAAAAAAAAAAAAAAAAACCCTGCTGATCACCCAAAAAAGTAATTGCCATTAATCGAAGGAGAGCTCCCGTCGCTTGTACCGCACCATCATCTTTCCCTTCACACCCACAACCATGGCATTCCAATCAATCTCGGGAAAAGGTGACACCAGCTCCAATTCAAAATTTCTCAGCAAATGGCTCCATATAGCCTTTATCTGCAGGTATGCAAAAGGCTCACCAAGGCATCCATGCCTGCCACCTCCAAATGAGATATAAGAGAATGCCCCTGCTGCCTTATCTTCTTCTCTCCCAGCAGCAAATCTCTCAGGATTGTACGTGTCTGGCTCCTTGTAAATATGAGGAAGCCGGTTGGCGAAATATGGTGATGTGGCAACAATGTGCCCCTTCGGGATGTCATACTCTTTTCCCTCACGGGTTTGTACACTAAAATCACTATGCGAGCTTCGCAGAAGCATGATTAGTGGAGGGTGTAATCTCAGAGCTTCCTTGATGCTACGATACAGGACATCCATCTCTGACAATATATCATGATCAACCTTCTTCCCATGCTTTTTCATTAGGTTTTTCTGCTCCTCTGACACAGCAGATAAGTATTCCTTGTGACGGAGGAGATAGGCCCCAGTCCAAGTGGAAGTGATAGAACTAGTGTGTTGCCCAGCAAAGAGAGCAGCAATGAGCAAGCCAGTGACCTCAGATTCAGTTGTTGGTCGGCCATTTTTGTACTTCGAATCAATGAAACATTGCAACATGTCATTCTCACACTGTTCAGCACGCTTACGGGAGTTTATGATGCTTGCAAAGATTTCTGAAAGCTTCTTGCGTGCCTTGTCACGGCGACGGTGAGCTGGGATGGGCAGGTACGGGAAGATGACACTAATAGGAAGCATGCCATTGTCAAGGTCATGGAACAATGCTGAAACATCATCAAAGAGTTTATCACGAACTTCGCGACCCAAGAGGCATCTACTGGCAGTTAAGATGATCAGATGCTCCAGCTCATACTTTAAGTCCACCTCGCCACTGTCTCCCCACTTGGAAAAGTAATCCTGCCAAGTACAGTTTGCGGACAAGGATTAACACCATAGATCTCCGTACACTAGGTATAAGTTTTCTAGAACAAGGTACAAGCACAAGTGAAAGTTCCAACAAGTTGTTTGAGACTTTAGAATAAACAGCACAAGCATGTCTTTGTGAGTGTTTGTGCCTGCGTGTGTGCTTAAATTGAACAATAGTATAAGAGGAAATGATGAAAGCTTAAGTTGCCCCAGACTTGCCAGCATCTAATTGATGCTTAGTGGCAATTTATTCTCTTTTAAAAATAATAAAAAAGAAAAAGAAAAAAAAAACCAGGTCTTAGAGGCTTCTCAACTGTTCCGATTAAAGAGCAATCTTTTTTGTTTGGTCAATATTTAGGAGCAGTCTTTAATGAATAGACAAGCCAATGGTTGCATTTTTCTCTCATAAATAAACAATCATATGTTTGACATATTGTCTGCACAACCTGGCGAAGTGAGCATATACGTCCTAACAAGCATGCAATGCTAGTCACCCAAACTTCAGACTACTACCCTAGGAAAAACATAAAACGAGAATCTAAATAAGTCTTCTCAGATAAATCAAGCTCATGTAAAGTACTCTTAATGCAATACTGTACTTCCAATTTGAAAAAATTCAGGTTAACTGCTACTGTTTTGCTTTTGTCTTTCTAATCAAATTAAAGTTCATGAAAGAGAAACACATGCCAGTTGGAGAAGGCCCTTCATCCAATCAACATTACTAGAAAAACTTGCAAGTCCCAGGATATTAGTGTAGGCCACGATGGTAAAGAATTGTGACTTAGAGTCACATCTGATATTGCTACTTGCCTAAGAATACGGAGGGGGTCTTCTCCTAGACATATGTGAATAAATTACTAAACATGTTGAAGGCTAAAGCAGATTAGATAAACAAAAAATATATTCAATCCAAACACTTACCTCTGCTTCCGTAACCATCTGATCCACATATGCCTTAAGTTTATTCACCCTGAGAGCCTCCGTGAAGAACCGGAACTGCTCTTGCCGCACTGAGTAATCCACATCGAATACAACTCCGGGGCCAAAAGTAGGCACATTGAACTGGTAGACCTCCTGCTGGCTAAGATCAGACTCCGGGGCCTTGAAGAAGTGAGCAGAAACCTCAGGACCAATCAAGAAAGTGATCTTCTTGTTAAGTAGGTTCAATGTGAATACACTCCCAAGCTTAGGGTACTCTTCACGAAGCATCACAATGGGACCTTTCAAGAAACGGAGCAGTCCCCCAATCACAGGCCACGTGTTGACCACCGGAGGGAGACGCTTTCCAGATCGGGACATCAAAAGCCATGAGATAAGCTTGGCCACCACTAGAGTGGCCACAATCATCAGACCCACACTGAAAAGCTTGTTATCCACATCCATTGTCACCATAATTTGGTGCAAGTACAGGGACCTAATCGCAAAATTCACACACAAAATGTAGAAAATCAGCAGCTTTTCAATGACCACCAATTCCGACGGAAACAGAACAAAAAAAATTACGACTTTTAACAGTAGATTTGGATGAGATCTAAGTTTGAGCAGCAAGCAAAACCAATTTATATAAATCCTCCGTCTGGTTGCTGGAAAATTGAATAGAAACTTCGATTTTCACGGCAACCAAACAAGGGATGAAAAGAAAACTAGAATCCGGGAAAGAAATATATCAGATTGATGAAAAGCTGCAGTAGAAAGACAATGCATGACAGAATATATACACAAACAGCAATGGCTATTAATTAGAGAGAGGTTAAAATAATCATTAAGGATGAAAAATTTGAGATAAGAAGCAGCAATTAGGGTTTTGTACCTGATTGCAGATTGGAACGCAGAAAGGATAGGAGGAGAGCGAGAGAGAGAGAGAGAAAAAAAAACAGTCAAAGAAGACACCAAAGCTAGTCCAGTAGTGAAGTGAAATTCAGTTTTAAAGGCTTGAGATTTTAAAAGGGATTAAAATTGAGCTGAGTCGTGTGTGGATGCAATACAACTCTCTCTCAACTCTGGTTAGTCCGCTTCCATTAAGATTTTAAATATTAATTATTTGTTTATTTTTGTATGGGAAATTCAGATTAATTTCCATTATTAATACTAATATTTAATCTCTTATTGGTGCTTCCTAATTTTGTATGGAAAACGATACAAGTGTAAGGCTGCGCTCGTTGGATCTAGAAAACGGTGGGTCTATGACAAAGGTGGTTTGTCGTACACGCGTTTGAATTTGATTGGTGCTGGGAATTTTATATGAATTTACCACGTGCCATGCCAAGTTGGGTAGCAAAGGAAGGGGACGAAAAGTCGGAAACACCAAAACAAACTGAGCTTTGATAGATGAGAGCGGAGAGTGCATGGCGGGACAGACTAGTTTTGTGTCAGCCTGTCAGGACAAGTGGACTATCCATGAGTGAAGGGAGATTCTCCCCTTATTGTTCTTTTGGGCCATGGCCCGAGGATAACGAATAATAATGCGGATCGATTATGTTAAAGATCGGTCACACTAAAGACGGTCGTACACGCAATAATGCAAATCAGTTTCACTAGGTACAATTGGACACAAAACAAGCAGTTTAATTTTAGTCGTAAATGTTATGTGAATTCTACATGCATCAACGAGTGATAATAACCAATTTTACTTTTAGTCACAAATGTAATATGAATTCTATATGCATCAACGAGCGACAGTAACCAATTTGCTTAAACGGCCCTGAGTGAACTATACGCGGTTGGGCTAGACTTTCTATGGGCCTCGGCAAATTTGAGCTCATGTTGCAAGCCTCTGGATATTCAGGTATAATTGCAATCTTGGAAAACATAAGCAGCTGTAATACAAAAAGAAATAAATGGAAGGAAGATTACATTTTTGAGCAGGTGAGATCCGACACATCAGAACCAATTAAGAGGGAAATTTGAAATTGGGAATGAAGAATCGAGACAGATAAAATTAAACCAGTTGAGCGAATATTTGATGTACGTGTTCTCCTGGAATAAATTTTCAACTAAAATATCCCGGAAACAAATTTAACTAAAAGCTTTATATAATCAACAAGAAGCCAGGATAGCACAAACGGTTTGGCACTTTGTAAAACTGCTTCAAGTGTCTGGCCAAACCGAAAAGCAATATAGAGGACTGATTACTTCATCCTCCATCAAGATCCATTGTGCAGGAGGTGTTTCGAACCCTCGGATAGAGATGTCAATTCTCATCTTTTACTTTCTTCCTTGATTTACTATGATGACCTTGTCCTGAGGAAGTAGCCCCACTATGACCTTGTCCTAAGGAACTGATTCCACTATTACCTTGTCCTAAGGAACTGACTGCACTACCTCGTCCTGAGTTTTGGGAAGACCGGTTCATGGACCTACTAGGTTCGGGTGTATGCCTTTTCTTTCGATGCTGTGATTGCTCGCCAACACTATGTATGGAACTTTTAGGTCTGCTACTATGAGTGGAGGCTGAACGTCCACCTGCTGATTGTGAGTTTCTCGGCACTGAACTTCGTGTAGGAGTTGCAAAATTGTTGGAAGATTGGGTCAACACTCCAGATGGTAATTCCTGATACATTTTTTTCAATCTTTTGGAATTTAGTCTTTCTTTAAGCTCACTAGGCTCTGGGTAATGCACAAAAGAAACTCTCCGTGAAATCTTCCCAGCTGCCAAGATATAAATCAATTCAATATAAAAAATAAGACACCTCAAAGACCATTGCCAGTGAAGACAACAAAACAACAGCAACAATTGTAATAAGAACAACAATTTTATCAAGAGACAAAAACAAAGAAAAAGGTCAAATAAAATTGTATTTTATCATTTCAACCTACCATGATTAAAATGACCATACAGCAAATGAAAGACTTAAAATTAGACCTTAGTAACAGAACTTCACATAACCGTATAATAAAACTCGCTAAATCACCCGTACTTGTTTGGAAAATAACAAATATTGAGAATCTAAACACGAACATATTCTGCTAGCATGTGAGCCCAATATCAAGGTTTTAGGAAGAGATGGGGCACGAGTCATGAATGTATAGCAATTAAAACAACTAAATTCAAGTTGGTTGTTGAAGTTTTGACAGAACGTCAAACTGTGATGCCAAGGCTCAGTCCCAATTTTAAAACATTAATAAGGAACTGAAAGGTAAGCATGTAGATTCTTAATATGATAGGTTTCCAGTGTACCAATTTTTGTGTCCGATGTAGAAGATACAAAAACTGTAGCTTTTTGCTCAGCTGCAGTACTGACCACTTCATATTCTTTCCCTGAGAACATCAGAAAGATCGTATCAGCTATCCATAGTAAATAAGAAATCAGGCATTGCAGAGTCATATAGAAATTAGCTTCTTTGGATATGAAATCACTTAAGTTTAGCTCTTCTATTAACAAAGTTTATGTATAATTACCTGATGGAGCCTCAAAACTGCCCAACGTTCCATCATTATGAAGCTTGAGCGACAGTTCTACACCATTAAAATCAGGATTCTGCAATACCCAAAAATCATCATCAAAATTCAATGACTGGCAAAGATCAAAATAAGAAACAAAAATAGCACTACTGCTAAATTCTAGTGACATGATCACTATTTTTCCACCATAAGGACCTGAGGCCATGGAAGTCAGTTCCGGACTGCTAGTTAAGGTTTAAGTTGTTCCCATTTTCCTTTAACACAAATTGGGTCATCAACTAGTTCAGTGTAAAACTTCTTCCCAGATTAAAAACAGCACTTTCCATAATCACTCCCCTCTCAAGCGAGAAAAGCACAACAGTGTAATGACTTGGACAGATTATTAAAGCTTGCATATTTTTGGTCTTTCTCTTTATACTGAAAACTTATAAACTGGCATTGATACAAAGTATTAGAAAAGAGCCCCCCATCCAAAAAGAAACATACTTGATCTTTAGGCAAATCAATGAGCCAAAGCTCTGTGGAGTCGGTCACAGTGAAATCGAAAAGTGCTTCTTTAGTATTTTCTTGAAAATCTGGTGGAAGTTTGTAACCTTCGTCCTTAGCATCTGCATCCATTTTTCCTGCCTCCGTCTACCACCCAGCTCAGTTCACAAACTCACGCAGTGCCTCTGCAGATAAAAGAAGAAGAAAAAACAATATAATCAACTCAACCCCAGTTCAAACCTTTTGTCGAACACCATAAACCCATCTTCACCGATTAGAAAATTTCAGATTGAACAAGCTTAAACCCCAGAAGTACAAGAAGAAGAGGAGTACCTGTGTAAGATTGAGCGGCAAAGAAACAAGGGACAGTTAGCGTTTTGACGCAAAACTTTTGCGTTTTTTGGCCTTGAGACCGCCCTAGCCCTAGGAAGAATTACAGAACCCCCAATTCCGGTTTTGACGAAATCACCCCCGCCACGTTTTGCATTATTATTATTATTTTTTAAAATTTAATTTTTTTAGGAGTCTAAGCCACGTTTTGCTTCTAATTATTATTATTATTTTCGGAAAATTTGAAGTAGGTAAATTGGGTGGACTAAACCCAAATAAAACCGACTTGAAATTTTGAACTTTGGTCTCATTGTAAGAGCATTTCCACTCATTTGTCATGGCAAAAATTAATGAGAGGAAAGGGCAGATACTATTCATGTGAATAGTGACAGCTCTTACAAAAAGTAAGGTGTGTTTCCACCTATTGCCATGATAAATACTATTCACTTTTTCGTTAAAAAAAAAAAAAAAAACCTAAACAATTAATTTGGAGAAGATTTTCGATTCCCACCCCCATCAATATTTATTATAAAATTCATATCTCATAATTCGAATGAATTTTTCGGATAAGATTCAAATTTCAAATTTCAGATAAGATTTCCATCCTCTAAAATCGCGCCATGTGTCATCTCTATATTCTAAATCTCTCTATAAAACTAAAGGCTCAACTTATACCTCTCACACCAGATCTTCTCCATCTTTTCATTTCTCAAATTTTAGATTTCACACTCCACTCTCAATGTCAAACATGAGGAGATGCTTGGAGAGGTAAGAGCGAGAAATTAAAGATAGAAGGCGTAGACGAGCTGAAGAAAAAAGGGTGCAGCAAGAAGAGGATGAACAAGTTGTCATGGCAGTGGGTTTGCTCAATTTAGAAAGTCAAGATCGCCGCCATGGTTCACAAGTCGGTCGTGGCCCGAACGTGGACATATATGGGCATTCTCAGGGTAATAATCTTTTGGAAGATTACTTTATTCCAAATTCTGTGTACTCTAATATTGATTTTTGAGGACGATATAGAATGCAACCCCATTTGTTTAATAAAGTCATGCTTGATGTTGCAATTACGATGCATACTTCGTTCAAAAGTGTGATGCTGCTAGGGTTTTGGGGCTTCTCGGAAGAAAAACTTACAGTTGTTATACGAATGCTGGCGTATGGTTCATTTGCTGATCAGGTGGATGAGATTGGTAGGATGAGGAAGTCCACTACTGGCAGGACCCGACCCAATTTTCGCTTTGGAATTTGAGCCAAACCTTATGCGTGTCCGACACCTGGCGGATGCCGATCACAAATGACCAAATTTCCCATCTAACCAACAACAAAATTTACTTCAAGTTTGACTTCTGCCGAAAATTCGGCAGAGTCTCCCCTGTAAATTGCTGGTTTCCCAAAAAAATTCAACAATGTTAAAAACACAATTAATATCCACAAACTGGCAGCAGGCACAGGTTATCCTCCGGAAGGTCAGTCACTTCGCTTCACCATTGATATGGACATTGATGAGCATAAGGATGTGATTTACTTCACAAATTCAAGCACAATATTCCACAGAAGGTAATTTAAGCACAAAGACTTACTTTATCTCCTTAAGCTTTAGGGTTGCATCTGAAAGTGATTTGAAGTAGAATTTCCCTTTCACCAGCCACTTCAGTTTTTGTAAGAGAACAATGTGGATGGAATGGTAGGACATGCCAAAAGTATGTAGCCTTCAACATTTTAATTTGCAAATTACAATTTCAAATTTCATAAGAGTAATGTGTTCGAGAGACATTTCTTGGGATAATTTGGCATTTAAGCTCTTTCAATTTCAAACTCTAGATAACTTGTAGTCTGCTTCACTTCAATGGTCACACATTTTGGCTCCAAATCATCTGGACCAGATGTATCAAGATTCAAATATGAACAAATCTGTGTAAAATATTTGATGTGTTGCCTGTAGAAAGCATCCAGTAGAAATATCTATGCAAAAGTTATATTTCGGTGTTATGGTCTCTTTTTTGCATTCTATAAGCTACAGTGTCCAATTGATTCGTCGAAAATTTGGATACCAAATCAACAGTGCCAGATTGAGTTGAAAGGGAGTGCTAGCCCTTTTCTTGTTTTGTTGTTCTCTTTCGCCATCATTATCCTTTATTTCCATAATCTAATATCTGTCTGCATTTGGATTTTATTACTCCATTGCCATACTTAGGAATTCTTTGCTAAAATTACTTCAAAGTTTAGAATTCCATGCTTTTGTGGGCTTGCAGGAAATTCATGTCATCAATCTTGAATGGAGACCGGACTGGCAGATTACTCAAATACAATAAATCAAACAAAGAAGTAACGGTTTTACTACGAGGTCTTGCCTTTGCCAACGGTGTTGCATTGAGCAAAGACCACTCTTTTGTGCTAGTGGCTGAAACAACTACTTGCAGGATCTTGAGGCTTTGGCTTCATGGTCCAAATGCTAGAAATACTAATACTTTTGCAGAGCTTCTAGGATTCCCAGACAACATAAGAAGGAACTCGAAAGGGGAGTTTTGGTTTGCACTGCATGCAAAGAGGGAATTTTTCGCTAAGTGGTTTGTCTCTAACAGATTGGTTGGGAAGTCACTGCTAGAGCTTCCCCTTGATTTTAAACAACTGCATTCGCTACTAGTCGGAGAGAAGGCCCATGCAACTGCTATCAAGTTAAGCGAGAGAGGTGAAATTTTGGAAGTTTTGGAAGATTGTGAGGGAAAAAATATGAGATTCATTAGTGAAGTGGAGGAGAAGGATGGCAAGCTGTGGATTGGGTCAGTTTTAGTGCCAATTCTAGGCATTTATGAACTGTAGGAATTAGGAAACAAGTACTTAAGTAATTGTAATGGTACATGATCTTTGATTTGTGAATTTATGCTTGAGTTTCTTTTCAAAGGTGAGGATACGCTGCAAGCAGGCTCACTGAGCCTTTTTTTTTTTTTGCCAATCAAATGACGCCACGTGTAATATATATATATATATATAATTAAATATTAATCTGTTCGGTTCAGGTTCTCCGGTTCTAAAAAAATTTGACCCGAGAGCCGAACCGTTGACTTTCGATTCGATTCAGGTCCAGGTTTGACTTTTTCAATTTGGTCAAAAAACACTCTTTTTCGATTCAGTTTGGGTTGGTTCGGTCGGTTTGATCAGTTTATCAGTTTTTATGCCCACCCCTAACAGGCACCCTTCGAACCAGCATGTATACTCATTTCTTTCCTTCATCAAATCTGGCCATGAAATAAGGAAGAAAAGAAAGGAAATGGGATGGCTGAGAATAGGAGTTCTCCACTAGGGTAGCTGCGGGAAGAGCATTGAACTCCCAAAAATCCCTGATTTTGTGAGATTGGACAGAGGGGATTTTTACCATTATAAGATAAATCAAAGGAAGGGAGAAGAAAGAAAGGGAAAAACTTGGCCAAATTGGATAGAAACCATTAGGGTTTCTTGGAAAAGAATAGCTTCCAACGACTATAAATGAGGCCTCTTCTACCCAACAACAATCAACTACATCCAGAGAGCAAGCTTCCTCTCTCACCTGCAAAACCCAGCAAATTCGTGCTCTATTCATTCTTCTCCCCTTGTTTTTCCTCTTGGCAGATCGTTCTAATACTTGATAGAACCTCTGTCGAGCTGCTGGAAAAACACTTAAGACACCCATTGCTTAGCCTCTCTCCTCTTCTCAGCCAAATCCTCTGATAATCCTCTCCTCCTTTTCCTTAGAACCCTTGTTTTTCATAGAAACTCACAGCTCTTTCCTTTTAAGGCTAAACTCATGACAACTTTGCTCCCATGCCACAAGCCTCTCATGCCAAGCTAAGATTCTACCTGTAAGCACTAAGAATTCATCTGTAAGCAGCCATTGTTTTTGTTGGTGAAGGTGACTAGAGTGTTTCCTAAGGCTGCACTATCCTTTCAAAACATTCTTGGCGTCTGATCTTTGAACTCAGACACAACGGGAAATTTCATCCATTTTGCTCTTTACAGCAGCCCAACTCATTTGTAGCTACCGGAAGAAAAAAGCCCCTACAACATCATAGCTAAATTGTGTATTCTGAGTACTTGATTAAAACCAAACACCATATGGATAATCATATATAAGAAAGAACGAACCCCATAAATTGAATTAATCAACTTAGGTGATTGTTAACTTGTAGCTTGAAATTGGACTGTCATGGTGAAGTTGAACCCCTAGTGCTTGTTTCATTGTCTCTAAATTTTCTAAATATCTACTTGTTGGTCGTTTTCTATTTTGCATTCCCTTTTTGTAAGTTTTCTCTCCAAAATAACTAAACTCAACCTCATTTAAATTATGTTTAGTCTTAGGTTACTTGTGAGTCTAAGTAGTAGTTAATAAGTGTCTTTCATCCAAGTCTCTGTGGAACGACCTCGTTCTTACATTCCTATACTACAATTGGTTCGTGCACTTGCGAGAAATAGATAGAGTAAAATATGTCCAACATTTTTCTAAAATAAATGTATGTGGGATGTCATTTATTTATAAATATGTATTGACAATCCCAATTGCTAGTGGATATACTTTCACTAGTATCACTGTAAGAAAGAAAAAAAGAAAATAAATAAATAAATAAAAAAGCTACACCCAACAAGAAGACCTTAAAATCCTAGGGACGCAGGGCAATTTGTACCAGTGTATGATGTGAGGATTTTGAAGGTTTTCAACCCTTTTGTCTTTCAACCAAACCAAATCCATAGCATGATCTTGTCATTTTGGATTTTGTAATCCAAAGTTTGTCATCTGCTTCTTGGTAAGCCAATAATAAAGTTGTAGTTTTGGCTTATGGACTATGTTTCCATGGGTATCTCTGAAGTTTGAGGATCAAAACAAAAAGTTGGCTTATTTGGTGGCAGCGTTTGTTTCTTGGGTGAGTTGGAGTGCAATTGAGACAATGTTGGACCAGCATGGTTGTCGCACATGATGTAAACTTGATATTACCATCTCTTTTTTATTTGGCCAAAAAAGAAAAAATTTCTGGAGTATCATCTCTGATTTTGAGTTAACCTCCTAAACACTTTTTGGTTTTTAGGTTTATGTGGGTTTTAGTTTTGAGGGCATTTGAGTCTATTTAACTGAGTTTTTAGCTATTTTTGATTTTTTTTTATTTATAAAAATTAATATTTATGAAAATATAAGGTAAATTTTGGCTAGTTTCGATAAAAACTCTTTTTTTTATTGAGGCGAAAGCAGTATGTAACTTAACACTACACAAATTATCATATTGGGGACTATCTTACAATGTAACTTCGCGATATTAAAAAAATCATCCTTACCGAAGATCATTAATATGAGAAATCAATCATCTATTTGATTATCATCATAATACTTAGTATTTTTATCAAATAAAACTTGTGTATCTATTTATTCAATTATAATTAGATGATTTCTTCATTTATGATTTGGCTCATTTTTGTTATAAATGATCTTAGGTAGGGCATTGAAAAATAAACAATTTGAAATATAAATTACATTCTTGATTCTGTCTAAAAAAGAGTTTTGAGTTGTGTTAAGTTACATTTAAAATGCATTTGAAAATTTCTTACAGCGATGATGATGACTTTTTACCTAAGTATTTATGTAGCGGTAGATAGAAACTCAATTAGATTAGGGTCCAATTCCGAACTTTCATAATTTGATCACCCTAGTGGAGAGCTTGATCGATCCCATTTTGAGTGCTCTAGATAGTAGAGAGATTAAAATAATACAAATTTATAAATAAACTCAATTCTAGACATGTATTTATAGAAAAACCCAAGCACTATTTAAACATAGAAACACACTCAAAATTAACCACAAAGTCAACTTTTTGGGTGTGTTTATAAATGGATTTTGAGTGTGTGTAATGATGGATTTTGGGTGTGTTTATATGTTTAAATAGTGCTTGAATTTTTTTATAATTTAAGCTCCTATTTTGGGTGTTTTAGTGAAACTCCCTTAAAATAAGAGTGGTGATTTCTCCACTCCAATTTTATTCACTTACACTAAGGAATGAGTTATTTGCATTATTTTTTTTTTGGGTTGGAATTTATATTTGATTAATTATTGATGTCACATCAAACCCTATCCTCCAACTTCCATCTTCCTTTTTGTTGTTCTTCCTTAAAGACTCGGTTGAATTGAGTTGAAACTTGACCCACAGCCTGGCCACTCTTAAATCCTGTTTGGTGGAACAGAAAGTGAACTAGGAAAAAGCAGCTGAACAGAGCAGACCATACGGCATTTAACCATACATCAACACCTTCGAAAGATATCGATGGCTACCCATATTTTTCACGTTCAAATGCCAGATAGTACAGCTGAAAGCTATGGGGTGTGGTGATCAAATTCAAAACCAAGCTAACTAGGCTAGTTGGGTTTAAATGATATGGAGAAAATGAAGCTGTACGTCCTCTCATTCAGCAGCAATTGCAGTGTGGCTGTTTCACACACAACCTCCAACACAGTTGGCCATTAAATGCATCCTCTAATCTCTCTCTCTCTGTATTTTTATTTCAAATCTTTTTAGTACCATTTATTGCCTTTGGATCCATTTCTATAGATCTTCACGTGTTGGTTGGATCTTCTTTATTATTGCCGCTTCCCTTTTTGGTCTAAAATCTCATCACTCGCAAACCCACAAGGTTAATTCTTTCTATCTACACAGTTTCAAGCTTCAATCTTTCAGACAGTTCCTCATATGCGCATAAGGGTGAGAATTAAAATCAGGGTATGATGGGGGGTGTGTTATTTTCTGTTTTTAAATTGGTTGTTCATGAAATATGTAGGACTTTGCAGGTTCAACAGTTCAGAGATCATGCATAACATGCCCTCTGTATGACAATGAATCAGCCGTATATGATTTTTTTTTCAGTAGTACTTTGTTTGTTCTTTGTCGTTTCATTTGTTTGTGAGTAGAATTGATGATTAGTTTCAAAGGGTTTGGAGACCATGCTTCACATATTCACATGTTCTGTTCCCTCTCTGTAATCCACTCCCCTAGAAAATGGAAAAGATTTCAGAATGTTCCCAAAACTCTGTATTTTCAAGTTACCATGGATTGCTTGTTTCTCAAAGTGGAGGATTATAGTATTTTAGGTGTGAAGAAATTGCTTTGTTCTAAGCTCTAGAGTTTCATGATTTCATCTTTGTTGTTCACAAGAAACTCTTCATTTTTTTTGTTGTGTAAACCTACTTTAGAGTTTTGATATTCATTGTATATAAAGCATATACCATAAAAATATTGTGGTTGTTGGGGATTCCTGCAGGGAGTTAGAAAATGGGAACCAGAGAAATTAAGTCACCTGAAGGAGGGCTAGTGACACCAGCTAGTTTAGATGGAAATCCTGACTCAAATCACAGAAAGAAGCTTGGACTTTACTTCATTGAATCCGATGACAGACGGACGGCTTTCGGACGGGGTTATACTGGAGGAACTACACCAGTTAATATCCATGGCAAACCTATTGCTGATCTTTCAAAAACGGGTGGTTGGATTGCTGCCTTCTTCATATTCGGTAAATAAGCATAATTTTCATATTTTGTTTCTGTATAGTTCTTAATTCGGTTGCTTCCAAAGTTGAGGAAAAGAAATCAATATCCTCTTCTAATTTCTCCAGGAAATGAAATGGCAGAGAGAATGGCTTATTTCGGTCTCTCAGTTAACATGGTGGCCTTCATGTTCTATGTTATGCATAGGCCCTTCAGCAGTTCATCAAATGCGGTTAACAATTTCCTTGGGATATCACAAGCTTCCTCTGTCCTTGGTGGGTTTCTGGCTGATGCATATCTTGGCCGATATCGGACAATAGCAATCTTCACAACCATCTACCTTGCGGTAGGTAGCCATATATGAACATATGAAATGTTAACAAGTAATTACTTTTCCAATC